GTAAAACTGACCTTTTGATGAAATGGTGAACACGACCTTAGGGCCAAAGTCTTCTAATTTTAAATAATTGAAGTTGTATGTCGATAGACTGCCATTGACAGGATTTTGTACGTTTGATATTCTGCTAAAAGTGAAGAGTAGCGGCTTGTCAGTTGATAGTCATCGAGCTACTATTCAACTGCCATTGCAATTTTTTGGTATTCTACTCTTCAATGGCACGTTGATGGCATAATCTACTAATTATTTACATATAAAATACATTTAATGTGAAGACTATTGGTAAAACGAGAAAAAAATTAAGACGTACATAGTAGTTGTAGAGCTCCTTGTGAAAGAGTTCGTTCAGGGAAGTACAGCCATCTTACCTATTTGGGCCGCCAAGCAGTAATGTCAGCATAAAATTCTGATAGTTTGTTTTTGTGTCGTTTCCATCGTGCGCCGGCCAGGTCAGTCACCGTGCCCTATCGTTTCCACCGTGTGTCCCGGCCGGAGTTTTTTTGTTGTTTTCCATTTTTCTCTTGATTGATAAGGTGATGGGGTGTTAAATAAGGTGTGTTATTAATGCAATTTTCACAACTTGAGTTAGTGGCTATTTCAATACGATGCACTTGATGACGAAGTATTGGAAACACAAATTGTAACTGGAAAAAGAAGATATGTATACAACCTTTGTGGAGAAAACGAGAATCCGAAGGAGAATTTGCCACGCTCTACAAAGATTTAATATATGATGAGAGCATTTTGCGTTCACGCTGTCAACTACACTATAGTCCAACGTTGTCCGGTAAATCCATTCATATTACTTACGACGTGTCGCGATCTGGCCGGGTTGGAACCGGGAAAAAATATTCGACGCCGTGGCCCGACCGTGCCTCAATCGTGACACGGACTCGGCCCGGTCTAACATGAAGTTCATACAAAAGCATTAGATATTTCACCGTACTACGGCGCACGACCGGAGCACGGCCCTGCCCCGGCACGGTGTAACATAGTCACTTCGATGGTAGTTTTAGTGAGGCAGCATCGATCGATAGCGATGGATTGAAAAATAATAAATATGATAATTGCAATATAATGTCAGCGGAGTCTTAATACATTTGTAATGATCAGTCAAGAAAATTAACAGGCTTGGCCCAGATAATGTGCACAAATTAAAGTGAAAACTCCTTTTCGTCGTAGTCAGCACGTACAAGATAAAGGGACTCCCACGAGTGTGTGTTCGTCTTTTATTTAACTGATTAAGTCAAAAGCTCTTAAAGGGTTTTCATTGGGTCCCTCGGTTTCTTTTTCATATACTTATGTTTCTTCAATAAACTAATTATTTTAAAAATTAGTAAGTGGGAAGTTGATTTTATATCAAAGTCAGTCACGAATACATTTTGTTAAGTTTTTTTTAACATTGTTCGTGTTTGACGATATAAGTTTCAAATGTCTATAGGGAAATTATCTTGTTCACATGTAGAAGATTTGTATATAAATTTTACTACTTAATGAATTTAAACATAGCTACATTAGCGTACGATATGACATAATTTAAATTTGTGTATATGGTTTTAAAAGAATTATGTTGTTGTGTTTGCGGAAGATTATCATATTATTTTTAATATATTAATAGAATAGAATAGAATATAATATGATCATTTATTTCATATTATCAATTTCATAATATCTCAATTCGAAATAAAATGTCAAGGGATAACATGATCGTCATTAAGGTAAATAATAATTCTAATGTTAATATAAAATGAAATAATTAAAAGAGAAGTAAAGAAAAATACGAACTACAAAAATACAAATAAAAATTTAAATATTTTCAAAATACAAAACGTCCAAAATTATAAATATAATTACAATTTCTTTAAAAGAAATTCCTCTACACTAAGAATTCATTATCCAATAAAAGGTCTTTCAGTTGGGAACAAAACACTTCGTCATTTGTAACACTATATATGATGTTTGTGTCAGAGATATTGAATAATTTGCGTATCGGAGGAAATGTTTAGCAAGCAGAACTATTGTGTATTGTTAAAGTGGCATAATATTTGAAATCGCTACAGGAGACGTAGCGTACCGGGCTGCGCGCTATAAAACTTGATTTCCACTCGATTAATTCGTAATCACAAAACAACCAATACTCTATATTTGAAAAGTACACGAGATGAATTCAGCAATTTGAAACGACTTTTGTGAATAAACGGTTATCACAAGTACGTGCAATGAGCGTATTTTGTACACGCTTATAACCGACTCAGTAGGTCGTTCCGAACCGTCACAGTATCGTAGGTATCTTTTCGTACTACCTTACTTGCAATTCACCAGGAAACATATTCCAATTTACGCTACATACGATTTTCAAAAGATTTTATCGTATTTAGCATAGATTGCAATATGTTTTTTTGAAAAGTCAAAGTAAAAAATAATTTATTCCACATGTAAAATAAATTTACACTTGAAAACGTCACTTTTTAAGCTACTGCTCATTCGCTGTACTGACTGCTATGAGAAGAACGAATAAGAAACTCTAGGAGTTGCTCTTTTCGAATAAACATAAATGCTATGGAATAAACTTTGAATCAAATTTGCGTGGAATCTAGAGCCATGTCTTTAACTAACGCGTAAGTCTTCAATTTATTAATGTGACTTTTTATTTAAAATGCTTTTAATGTACGTTTTAAGCTTTGTTTTTCTCCCTCCTTTTTACTTGCACAGTGCAGCCCGCTTATGACCTCTATTCTCACTGCCCTGGATTGGCTGGAAGAGATCTCCTTTGCTCATCATTTCTATAATTAATTTTTCTGATGTTTTTTTTTTTTTTGGTAATTTCCTAAGTTTAAATAAACTTAGGAAATGAGAATCTTAATATATGCTCCGGAATCTTATAGTAAAAACGTATACAGTTCCCTATAAAATAATCGTTTACCTTAGTTGAACGAAATCGTGATAGCATGAAAGTAAATTAAAAATAAGTAAGCTCAATTATTGTTTATAACAATAGTTCAGAGTGTTCTGCATTAATGTAAATTAGACACAACTTGTTGATGACTGATACCACCACAGACAGCTGTGACCATCGGAAATATCGAAATATTGCTTTGTTTGAAAAAAGAAATTACGCTTCTTTTGATCCGAAAACAAATTCAAATTTAAAATATGCGGCAATCGCGAACACCAAAGTCGCGATTGTTTTGTACAATAAAATAAAAATTAAAAAATTGGTATCAGACAACAATGTCCATACAAGTTAATAAATTAGTAACATGATACACCTTATGATTATGTTAGTATTAAGATTAAGTATAGTACAGTCGCTGTACAGGCTGACGAATTATAAATGTAAATTAATCGCCTATTATAGCAAACAGGATGAAAGCGTTTCAATTCACGCGTAAAACATGCAACTGAGTGCACCCCTGTAAAACTATTGCATCCATCCGTCCATAATGTTCAATCACTCTAATGCAGCTTTAAAGATATGTATAACCAAAAACTAATTTATGATAAAATTACATTTATAATAAATAAGTTTTAGTGGCAGCATAGCTGTTTGTGAAAGAGTGCAGCCAGGGAAATATATACATATACATACAAATCTAAAAAACTCGGATCCACTTCGGATGTCGTTTGTTTCGGACTTTCCGATTCGAATGCGCGAAAATACGAGTGGTGCTCCAGGATACCTTATTAGAGGGTCCCAGAACATCCTTTATTCCGAAAGGAAAGTTCAGAACAACCGACGAGTAGGTTCATTGGATTCACCGATAAAAGATATGTAATCTTAGTGGCAATCAATTTCAATTAAAGTTCCTTGGAACTTGCCTACAGAAATGAATAAAGTGTTAATAGCAATATTATTAATTAATATCTCAAGGGAACCTGTCTTATAAATAAGTAGTGGTAATGTTTTTGACGACCTCGGTGGCCCAACGGTTTATTTACATTGTGGGCGCTGGATACGAAGGTCCCGGGTTCGATGCCTTGATTCATTTGGGAAATGAAGTATTATAAATTGTATTATTCTGGTCTGGGTGTTCTGGAACGAGCCTAAGAGTGAATTCCGTTTCCCTGGTACTCATAGAATAGGGAATTCCGTAGTTTGAGACTAGACAGTTGGATGCAGGCAGCACAAGACCGGAAGAATTGCCGTGATCAGGGGAGGGGGCTTATGTCCTGCAGTGGATGCGTGTAAGCTGATGATGATGAACTGGTATTATCTGGCACATATTATATTACATACCTATTATATTAGTATCTAATCAATGTGACAGTTCCTGTGGAATTAGACGTGTAATTTATATCGTAAATTAGGTTTAAAAAGGAAATATGCTCACTACAATATCTTGAACTTTGGCAACTTTTAACTCAGTAGTTAATTTATTTAAAATTGGAAGAAGCCCAGAAGTTCAAACTGGGGGTTTGCCAGCGAGTTATGGAGTGCAGCATATTAGGTGTAAAGCTAAGGGATCGGGTCCGGAACACCACGTTGTGCTCACCAACCCAAATCGTCGATGAGGTGGCCAAATTGAAGCGGGAGTGGGTTAGTAAATCTGCCACATGCCGAGCGAGTTGTGGGTCGAGATAACAACGGAGTGGAAGCTCCACAACTCAAAACGGAGACACGGCAGACTACGTCGGCGGAGACGATTTGGACTCCTTTTTAAAGGATTGGTCAAATGTTTCCCGGGATCAATAGAAAAAGAGGGGGGTGTGGTCTTTTTCCAACAGTGGGACAGGATAGTTCATAATTATAAAAAATTGGAAAATGTTGAACAATTCTAATGTTTAGTAGCTTTTTCCAATATGTTTGGCTATATATTTCATTTTAGTAAGGTTATTAGTAGCATTTACTTGATAACACCTATAACATGCTAACATGAAGTTAGTAAATAAGCATTTGTGAATTAATAACTTAGCCGTACCTATGTATTATGTAAGCTATGAATTATTTACCTATGTATTTTATATGTTATGTTTTACTAATTAATGTTTTTGTTTTTTTACAGAGAAGTGACTCAACCTTCAACATTGCAGTAACCATAAAGTACGTATTTATGAAGTAAGTATCTTCACGTTTTTGAATCACTTGGCTTTAACAAGAAATAGCACTTAAAATAAGTTGTTTATAGGATATTATAATTCTTCCATCTCTGAGTAATCGTGAGTTCAGAATATTGGAGATAAGAACAAAAATTTTTTTCGGAGACACTGTCTATGATTGTCAATGTACATGAAAGAAAAACAGAAATATAACTTTTGTTGTAGAAATATGCTTAAGTGAGCAATGAATTTCGGTTACCAACAAAACATTTTATTGAATTCAAAGGAAACTTGAGCAATTAAGAATTTTAAACTTTAAAAAAAATCCTTTTCTAGAACTTGTTTAAGTTTTATTAATTTTTTTAGACTAATAATAAATTGTTGACAGAGAAACTGTTACGGTTTTCTATTTTGGTCTCTGCTTTATTAAATCCTGTACCTTGACGACCTCTCTGGTGGAATGATTTGCACACCGGTTTTCATAATGTCGCTATCTTTGAGATCCCCGGTTTGATCCCCGGCCGAGTCAATTGTCTTGGGTCGGGGTGTTTGTGGCACCGTCGTTGTTTCCGATTTCCTTGTATAGTTACAAGTGCTTTAGTTGCTTATTTAGGGATCAGAGCAACGCATGTAATGTTGTTTAATAATAGTTGTTGACAAATATGTACAAAATAATATTTATTCTACTATATAAACTTGAAAATTCTGGTCTACCTCGAATTTTTGATTTATTATTATATTTTTGGTTTATTACGTTTATTCCACGTGGATTATATAGTATTAGTTAATATATATATTCGTTGATAAAACTATTTTATCTCGAGAAAAAGAAATAGATTTGGTATGTTTTAATGGGTACAATATGCATAGTTTGAAATTGCAGTGTAATTAATCGAATATATTAAGTAATATCCTGACCTATTTATTCAGTCACTAGGGCGGGCAGCGATGTTTACAATATCAACCGTGGAACAGACCATCTGCTATTAAAGCCAACACAGAAGCTATCCATTTAAAAGCTGTTCATAAAACTAGAACACATTTTATTTGCAGATCGTAAACTAAATGTCTTATAGGATATAACTGTAAAAATAACTTTATATCCAAAGTTCTCAAATTTATGCTGAAGTTACTACCCCTTAAAATTTTATTATTTTATCAAATTGCAAAACCGTTCGATTATAAATTTATCACTTTTATTGAAATGACGTAATTGGTTTCTAATCTAACGTCCAAACGAGTTCAGGAATCTGTATCGTCGGCATATTTAGGTTAATGCGTCGTCGTGTGCGGTGCGTGCTCCTTATATCGAAAGATTTTTATGGAAATAGGGTCACAAAATATGTGATACACCTGCTTGTAAGCGTGCAAAACAAAACCGTAGGTAGATTGGTTTTTGAAAATGCTTCTTATATGGAAACTTTTGTACAGTTTTTTTTTTCAAATGTAGCCCACGGAAAATATTATGGATACGACATATTTTTAGACTATGGATAGTGGAATAGTTATTAGTACTCTAAATAGAGGTACTTATACATGGGTAATCATAGAGGTGTTATTAGTAGTTAACGGTTAAAAATAAAACATTTTTTATTCGTTGCATAGGTTAACAAATTGAATGTGAAATAATCAAATTTAAAATATACAGATCCGCATTGAGCTTCGTCAATAGGTATTAAATACAAAAACTGGGATTTGCAAGAGATTTTTTTCAACAATTCCTAACATCAAAAAATATCCAGCACTGTATCGTGCCCGGCTTTAAAGTTCCCATTATACTGGCAGCAGTGCCTCCCTGGACCGCAATAGACACCTGCCGAATCAACCACGACCCAGAGCGGTGAACGCAGCCCCATTTCTGAGTCGGCGATCCATTTCTTTAAATAAGTCTCGAGCTTCCGAAACCCAGGGCTCCGCTGTTTCGACTGCGACCGGTACGAAGTCGAACATCGGCTCTAAGGTGGAATATTTTCCATGCTTTAGTGCAGCCGCGAAACCCACAAGTCGCGAAGTTTGTCTTAAGTGGGACGCAGCAAAAGTACTTAATATGTTGCGTCCCACAGAAGACATCGACCTTTCCGCCAAAGAACCAATGTGAAACAGTGCGGCCTTTTACCGTCGATTCGGCTCAGGCCCAGGGCTCGAGCACGGGAGCAAGGGACATTAGCCGACACCATCGGCCGTCGTGCAATATCGTTGACGGTTTCTTCTGAATTTTGAGGTTGACGGTTAGGGTCCCTGCAGCAGGCATGTAGTTGTTATCTATGACTTTAATACTAATGTTACGTACATTTGTAAGTATTTAACCTTTCGCTAACGGCACAGGAGTAAAGAAACGGAACAGAAACAAAACTTCTGAAGAGCGTGCAAAATTTATACCTATTTTGGTAGGGTTGGCAAAGGAGGATGAAATTAACTAAACAAAACTTTATGATTTACCAGCATATTTTATTACATATGACTTATTCTAAATACTGTTTCTGTAACTTTTGTTTTTGAAAAATGTGTAATTTCCTTTTAATTAAATGGTATATTCTAAATCTAACATAAAGTGTTTTTAAATAATCCAATGGAAAGCACTCACATGCATACCAAATTTACAATTTTGCATGCGTTTTTGAATGTCACTACCAATATTTTAAGTGTTTAATTCTGTAATTTGCCCTCGTTGTATGATCAACAAGTTCTAAAGCGAGTCTGTAGTGAAAAACAGATCCATCTTATTTTAATAAATAAACATTGAATTACATACAAAATAAATATAGTTCAACCTACGTATTACTGATTGAATAAGTATGTATGATATGATATGATTAAAATACGAAGGCTCAGGTTTTTCAAACAGACGGTAAGAAATCAAACAACACATTAACGGATTTTGATCCGTTGCTTTGGAGGCGATATTGGAACAAAAGTTTATAGCATGATGTGCTGTTGACTGTACTTACGTATTTCAATCATAAAACCAATAATTTGACATTAATTGTAAAAAAATAGTTCTTGGCGTTATTTTTGCTTTTGAACGCACCATCTACAAGACGAAGGTACCTATTCTGACCAACTTGTTAAAAACCAATCCACCATGTACGATCAATAAATACTAAAAGGTTTTTTACAACACCGGGTTGATTCTTCTTTCGATCGTGAGATATATATTAGGTATATGTATTATTTACCACATTAAAAATAAACAATTGTAATTAAGTTCCTGTTTACCTAGTTGAGTTCTTGGGATACCTATACAATGATATTTTTTTTCGTTCAGTTATTGTTTTTACATACAGTACAATAAACAATATTTCGTCTGCTTAAATGTAAAACCACATAAGTAACATTGCACAAATCCACAAAAAGTCTCCAAATTATGTAGCTGTTGTAAGAAAATCACCATCTTTCTGCAAATAAAATCACTTATTGAGTTTATAGCTTTTTTGTTACTGAGTTTCATCTGCAGAAAGATAGTGATTTTCTTACCATAGCTATATGAAGACTCTGTGGAAATGTCGTTTATGTGGTTTTACATTTAAACAGACGATTTGCACTTTTTTATAAACACTTATTACAAACAATATGTATGTAAAATAAGTAAATCAATTCATCTGAACATTTTGTATTCCTCAGTAAAATAAAAGAATTAGTAAACAAGTCGTTACTAGGTAAGGTATACATGTCAAAAAACAAACACGACGCGTTACATGTGTATTGCCAGGCATGAGATGTGGTACCGTCCGAGTTAGTTTAAACAGGCTTCTCTCCGTACGCGACGAAGCTGCCCCGGTGCTCACTCGCACACGCGCCTCAAGCTTGTAGTAGCATACCTGTCATAGCGCGGTTGTATGAAGCTTTGCCTCTGTTCCTTTTTTTACTCATGTGCTACCGGTAAAGGAAAACATCGTGACCTGCACTTCGAAAAAGTTCACTGCCCTTGGTAAACGTGTGAATTCCGCACCCCGCATTGGGTCTGTGTTTTTTTGATTATGATAAATTGACGGGACGAGCATGTCGTGTGTCTGGTGGTAAGCGATACGCCTATCCATAACAGTTGCAGTGCTACTCAGAGGTTTAAATCACAAAGATCGGAGTGGCTCTACCACTGCGCCTGTCACCCTAAGTCATATGTTGATAAGTTCCATGTGTCTGTAATTTCATCAGCAACCTTACCCTGCCAAACCGGAACGCGCCAATGCTCACTTTACTGCTTGGCGGTAGAATTAAAAAGGTTTGTTTATTTTAAATAGATATCTGCTTCAAATACTTACCTGGACGAACTCTTTGAGGAGACCCGTACCCTACAGTGGTTGATGATGTTGAATCATAGAATACAAATATTAAAACAAACTTTTCCTTCGAAAAGCAATATTTTCTCTTCTGCGGTTTTAAGGTGGGCGCCAACAGTGAACCTTTGAATTTAGATGTATTTTAAAATTTGAATACATCAGACATTATGCAGGGTTTTATGCAAATCCAGCGCCAAACCTCATTTTCTCAAGCAGATTTTTTGCCTTTATTTAAATAAGGTCAAATCTGTTTGTTTACCGGATTAAGTCAAACGGGTGTTTTAGAACGCTGGTCTGTCTTTGGATTTATTAAGAAAATGCAAAAAGGTATTTGCAATTAGAAGACGTAGCTCATTAAGGTTGGGTTACAGCAGTGTGATATGGTGATTTTAGGATCCCTTTCAGAATTCTTTTGATAAATAACTAAGTAAGGAGTAAGTATTTAATTTTACAGGAAATATCATGAATAATTCAGTATTTACTATTACTACATATATATTCTACGCAAATTATCTGTAAAAAGCTACGAAGTAGAAATAAGAACTATTGAGTATATTATTTCTCAGATACTTCTACTTGTAGATGTTTTCTTAATGTTATTTATTTATTTACTGACTACATACTTTTTATTTTAGCTGGCTGGCTATTCGTGTTGAATGACGTTTCGAAGTTCACGTCCCAACTGTACCAAATGATATCAATTATTATAAATACAGATATGTTTTACAATTGTCTTTTAAAA